TCGTAGTGACTTTCTGTGGCCACCGACTCGCCATTCCCACCCCCTCTGCTTTTTCTTCCTCTGTGCCTTCCACTGCATTGAAAGTAAGTCCACCTATTCAATAGCGTCAGTTTGAAATGCCTACAGTTGTCTCTGTTTTCCTGACCGAGTACAGAAGGGTCCAGGGTAGGAGTTGGAGAAGGTAACTCTGTCATCCAAGCATATAAGGAGTGCAGAACAATGTCACTTTATTTTATATCACTGTGAGTCCAGAAGTAAACATTGAAAGAAAAATGCTCAGGAACAAAAATGGAATAATAAATCAAGTGGTAAATGCCATGTGTCAAAACAAGAGGAGTCTGTCTGCAGTCATTTCACCTTTCTAAGCCTCCCTCCGTCATTTCCAGTCTTCTTTGATTGCACCCAACACCCAGGGGGGAACAGAAGCTGCACCCTTCCAAGATCTTTGTAATCCACCCCAATAAACAAAGGCACCCCCCCATAAATGAAGTGAATGCAGTATGCACCCTCTGAACATGACGTTTCTGCACCGTAGCCTGATTCCAAGCCTCTTCACAACCAGACCATCAGGCCAAACCCTATCTGCTAGGTAGAAATTCTGCAGTTATCATTTAGTTATTAAGTGTCACTGTGATTTATTAAGTGTCTTTCCTTGAGAGGCAGCAGGGGACAGAGACAAAGGAATGTGGCCTATGTCCTCATCCTACGTGGAAGAGAGTAAAATCTACACATAGCAGTAAGACTGAGTGAAGAAAATGTGCTGTTGTGGCGGGATAAGAGGGCAGCAAGAGCAGGGAGGAGGGAGCAGGGGTCCCGCAGAGACAAGCCAGTGCGGGTGGTGGGGCGCAAGGCTCGTGCTGCTGAGTGAAATTCGTGGAGGCCCTAGGGGTGAGGCGGGCTCAGATGGAGGGAAGCCTTCAGAGTCAGACTTGTTCTGAATATTTGGAACTAGAGAACGATAGAAGCCTTCTAAAATAGGAAGGGACACAAAAGTGTTTTAAAACATTCCTATATTTAGGAAATCGTTGCTGAGAAATACTAGTCAAAGGGGGGAAAAACCCACATTTAAAACATTCCTAAATTTAGTTCATGGTTATTGAGAAATACTAGTTGAAGAAAACATTGAGCGTTTCATACCATGTGTACATGACAGCTGGTACATTCAGGGTATATGCGTGGTGAAGATATCAGTGAGATGCCCAAGACATAATAAAAAATTGCCTTGATAAAGTGTCATAATGATAGCATGGCCAAGTCCACTGAAAACTTACTGGAAACAAATAATTATGGTGAGAGGCTAAAACTTCAGTTGCAAGGAAGAATCTAATGTCTCACTGAACAATCTAGACTAGAGTGAAAGTAATATTTTGAAAGTTTCCACATATTACTAATTTCAAAGGACACTGAGAAAAAATAATAACTCTGGATACAGAGAAGCAGGAAATGTGATTCAATATTGCATAATAAACAAATTGCAGAAATAGATTCAGAATTCATTTAAATCCTCCATATTCCAGTGAGGAAGCAATAGAGATTTTTGAGTGCTATTACATGGGAAATTAGTTATGAATTTTCAAAGTGAGATGGCAAAAACACCAATAAAATCAGCACTATTCTGAACTAGGTATAAATGTGAAGTTCTAACCCAGGTGAGGGAATTTTAAACCCTCTCAAAGAAGCTTAGGATAAATATAAATTGCCCCCAAAATATCTCATTTAACACTGATTAGCATTAAATCAGAATGATGGAGACAGATTGAATGCTGAACTATGAAAAGCAGCTTAGTATTGAGGAAACTGATTTACGAGAAATATTATAGGAACAAAATATGTGCAACTTATGTTAAGAGATGACTAAGGAATGATGGCAGTCTATAAATATTTGAAAGGTATAAACATTCAGAAAGGGGAGGAATTATTTAGCATGTTATAAAGAGCTATAATTACAGTTTATGGGATGAAATTAGACAACCAAGATTAAAACATTCAAAGCCACCTTCCACGGACTGTTAGAGACCTGTATTTGAAAAGCGAATAGGTCCTTTGTAACATCTGAATGCTTTTGCCTTTATCTTTATCTTTATTTATCTTTAATTTATTATGTTAAAGTTATAATCAATTTAGTGAAACGAACTAGGTATAAATATCTTCTTAAGTGTAAACATAATGACTACTTGATTAGTTTATTTATTTTGCACACTTCTTAAAAAAACAAAACCAGATGACTCACTCATTTATTTGGCAATTTGCAGCCAGAAGATGTAAATGAAATCCATACTACTTCCCTAACCTAGTGTTAGTCTTCTTTTCTACTACACCAATTTCCGGCACCCAGTGAAATCCGCTACATGGGATTTTGCCTAAACATTTCTGAAGGATTGTAAATCATTGATCTAGACCTCAGGTTCCCAAACTTGGTTGATTGTTTGAATCACCTGGGGGATCTGGTGAAACCACAGATTCACGGGCTCCTTCCCTAGAGTGTCTGATTCATTCAGTTGCATATAGATCCCAGAGACTAGATCCCCAGGTGATTCCAAGAATCAAAGTTAGGAACTAGAATCTCAGAAGTTATATCGCTAACGGAGATAAAGACAAATACCGAGTGCTTCACATTAAAAAAATCAAGATGTTTGTTTGTACTTGACACTAATTATAACCTTAACAACAACAAAATTTGTTTCCTTCCCTAAAAGAAGACGTGACTATCTGGCCGCTGTCCCATGCCCATGTTCCATCTGGCATCATTGACGTAATGCTGTCTCCTCAAACTCAAAGCTCCAAACCAACCTTTGTGAGAAACCAAACAAGTTCACAGAGCACTTCGTGTGGCCCAGGCCCAGTGTTACTGACCTAGACATACGTGAAAGACTCCTCCATGGGCAGGATGGTCTCACCGTCATTGGACATTTCTTCAGCTGTAAATGACTTACTGTTGTTGGTAGAGGCTGTGGTGTTGTTCTGACACCTGGTGACCCCAGGTGTCCCAAGTGGAAGGCCATGACCTTCAGAAGCAGATCCCCAGCCTGTCTTCTGAGGCCCAGCAGAGTTAGCTCAGACTGGCAGTCCCTGAGCTAGCTGAGCATTTCACCATTTGTATCTCATTTAAATTATTGAATATGTTAGAAGCACGATCTAAGGCTGGTTGCTGAGGAGTACACGATTTACTGTGACTCTGTTGTCCATGGTTTCTTGAGAGAGTGCTCGCAGCACAAAGACAGTGTGGGAAGCTGGCTAGGACAGGGAGAAGAGCTGGTAAGAACTGTGGTCCCAGTTGGACTTCAGCCATAGCCTGATCCCATAGGTAACTAGGAACAAGACTTGTACCCTAGTTGAGCTCACCTGGAGAAAAGTTGGGTGGTCTTTTATATCCCCATGTTACTTTGTTATTGTGACAAATTGTCACAATGACAATGTCTTTGTCACTGTGAGTTGCCTTGTCTCCAGATGGGCTGTGTATACACTCCGCGTGTGTATGCCCCCATTCTTCAGGTGAAAGCACACTTATTCATGGCCATCAAGTCACTTCTGATTCCTAGTGACCGTCTAGGACAGGGTAGAACTGCTCGGTGGGTTTCTGAAGCTGTAGAACCTGCGACATTGGGATGAGCAGCCCAACTTGCACCCTATT